AAAGAAATACATTTAAGTACTTTTACAGGTGCTGGGATAGAACAGTGAGAGCTGGGTTCAAGTGAGAACAAATTTTGCCCAATAGGTGACATTTGTGTTGAGACTTCAGTGATGCGAAAGAGGCACATTATTGTTCATCCTTGGAATCACTGACCTCCAGCAAAAATAACCCTCCTGAACACGCTCTATCGTGTTACCCGATTTCATGTTCTTTTTAGTATATCAGTGCATGGAATTATCCTGTTTAAATATAGCTATTTGTTTCCCTCTATCAAAACGTGAAGCTCTTTTAGGCACTGAAGTCCTGACGATGTTGCTCACTGCTCTATCCCAGCACCTACAAAAGTGCTTAAATACGTTTATTTACTGTCTGAATGAATACTAGATAGCAGGGATTCTTAATCTAGGATCTATGAATTTACATAAAGAAAAATTACATTTTTATTTCCTTAACATTTGACTAAAATTTAACATTTCCTTCCATTATGAATGTAGGCAATACATCACAACAGTGGTCATACTGAGGACTTAAATATCAATAAAAATCACAGGTATTTTCCTATGACATTACAATTGTGAACCGTGAAAGAAAAAATCCTTCAAGTTGGATGCTGATTGGCTAAACGGGCTTAAAATCAAAATAGAGCCCAGCAGTCATTTGCTGGCTAGAGGTCACACACGCACTTTGAGTTTTCACAAGACCCACACACCTTCTAAGTTAATAGCTTAGTTCATAGCTGCTTGTTCCTGTTTATATGCCTGAACCAACAAATAGACTGTGGCTTGTGTTGACAAATCAGAATTCAGCAAGTGTCAACCTCTCAGAACCAAGCAAATCTGAATCATGCATGTGCATAAGTGGACCTGAGTGGGAACCTGGGAGGGAACTTTCTCTATAAATGATAAACCCTCTTTTTGTTCTTTAGACTGCACCTTAAATCTGTCTCTCCCTAGTTCACAAACTGTTTGCTGGGATAGCCTCTTTCCTCTAAATTTCTTTTCAGAGAACTTTTATTCAGACAATTATTACTAACATCTCAAAATACTTTGTTTTGTTCAATATTACTTTAAAACTAAAGCACTAATAATCATCATATTATCATAAACATGCTTTTTAGTATCTTGATAACTATTTCAACATAATTAGTCTCCTTTATAATCCTCCACATTATTTTCTGAGTTGTGGTTTATTACACAAAAGAGATTGAGAAGCCCTGCTGTAAAGGAACTACCACAGGCAAAATGCATGCCCCTTATTCAACTATTGTCCCTGGGATTCACTGAAATAAATTTAAAGAAACAAAAATAGAACATTACAAAACCTAGAGAACTACCTCATACCCAAATCAACAAGGACTATCAGCTATAATAAATTCAGAATACTGAGGGCCAAAATAAAGGGTGACATTGGAAATCAGCTCACAGCTGTCTACTAAACTCATGATCTCAGTACATTCAGAGGGAAGACAGAGGTGGAAACAGCAGTTCCAGGACTGCGAAGCGACTTCCTCCTGGGTAAGGCTGGGTAGGAGGCAGGGCATCTGGGAATCAATGGACCTTTGCAATCCTGGTGCGCCAGGCATATTTGCAATGGCTTCTAGGCTACAGGAGAAACGCAAGGCCATGATTCTGCCTTTTCTTATTTTCTTCCAACCTCTAAAATTACAAGGCAAAGTTGTAAGGTAACCAGCTTTGCAGTAATGTGTCAGTTTGAGAATGACAGATAAAATACTGCTGATTCCACAAACAAAATGTCTGTGTGCTGCTGAATGACTGACAGCCCTGAAGATACAGGTTGTTGAAGAAACAACCATCAGCACAGCAACACAAACAGCAAGGCCCAGAATACCTCCTGCACTATGGCACTATTCATACTGGTGTTCCCAGAGCCCCTCTGCCATTTAGCCTAATATCTAAAATGAGAATTTAAAACCTCCACTGCCAGCCTGATGGAAAGATGCCAAGGGCAACCAGATAAACAGAAAGGAGAATGGAGGAAATTCTACCCACATCATCTTTGGGGAATTACAGGCTTACATAGAATTAGCCTGAACCAAAGAAAAATAATTAGAAACATTGAATGTGTTTGATATTTTGGAAGGAGAAAAAAAGCAGAAAAATATAGCAGCATGTAAATGGAAAAAATGAACACATTTTCAAAGAAGAGTTAGAGAGCATAAGCACAATCAAAATTTAAAATATTCTACAAATCTAAATTACTAGAGGCAGGCAAGGAGGCAGGAGGAGGAGAAGGACCAAAAAGATAAGGAGGATGTTTTCAAGGGAGTAGAAAATAAGATGCTAGAAAATGAAGTATATTTGTAATGACAATAAACGCAGTTGGATTGAAGTCATCTATACAAAGGAGACGGCTCTCAAAGTGGGTGAAATAATTGAACCCAGCTATATACCTTCTGTAAGAAAAACATTAAATAAAATGACTCAGGAAGGTGGAATTTAAAGGCAATGCAATAGTATTCCAGGGAATCTAAAATAAGCACACACCCACACCCACAATTTAAGGTTGTCATACCAATATCAGAAAGTAAATTAAAAGTAAAAGTTATGAAATGGGAAGGATTCATAAATTTATAAAGTCAAAAGTAAATTTCAAATTAAGATATACTTATCAAAATCATTTTGAAATTGTAACATCAGAATATAGTACTCAATAGTAACTGCCAAAGCAGACATAAAAAGAAAAATGGATAGAAATAATAATGGAAAACTTTGGTATAACTTTCAAATGTAATAGGTCAAATACATAAAAAACAAATAAGATTTATGGATTCTGAATAAAGTAAAGTGATTGTTCTCATAGCTGTGCCACACTCTGTGCCTTGGAAATAGAGGATAAACCTTTGCTAATGTCTATGGGATATTTTCTAGTGCTGTTATATGCTTATTTGTAAGGACAATCTCAGATATTTCTACATTAAAATATTCAGATAAGCTTTTGTATTTTTAAATTACTAGTTATATTCCATTCACTTAAACAAAATGTATTAACTAAGGCTGCATTGACAAACATGCTTAATTTCATATCCAGATTTTTGCCATTTCTAAATCAACAATCTTGAGTTATGCTTGCATCTTGGTAAATTTTTGTGAGTACACCATTATGGAAATTTTTAGTACTTGCAATACTGGATCAATTTAATACTGACTAAATTTCATTTTTGAGTGACACTATCAATTTTCCTCCTTTAGCTGGGTGTAGTGTTGTATGCCTATAGTCCCAGCTACCAGGGAGGCTGAGGCACGAGGATTACTTGAACCCAGGGGATTGAAGCTACAGTAAATTATGATTGTGCCACTGTACTCCAGCCTGGGCGACACAGTGAGATCCTATTTTTTAAAAAAAAATTTCTTCAAACATCATTTGGATCATTTATTCCAAAAATTTTGTTAACTGGCTATTTTTGTTTAAGGTGAAAAATTTATTTATTAATATTAATATAATATTTATCAATAAATTTTCCAGGATACTTACTGAATTCATTATTGTTTATATAGTTTTCCAGTCAACCCACTTGGATTTTCTAAGTAGATAACCATATCAGCTGCTCATAATGATAATTTTACCTTCTTTACCAATATGTGTTTTCCTCATTTCCTTGTCTCTCAGCCCCTCTCTCTTAACTGAGAACCTCATTGCTTATTGCACAGATGAGATGCCAACCTACATACTAACTCATCACATATACAACACTGCGTTCTCTCTGCCACTGTGGATAAGCTCTAGGTTTCTGCCCAAGACCAACCCAAGTTGTGGTGCTTGAATTACATCCTTTCTGGATGAGTCAAGTACTTTTTAATTCTGTTATTGTGCCTTATCTCCTATATTGTGTAATCTCATTACTGAATTATACCATCACCTTATATGCTATTGCATCTATCTTCTCCGAAACAAACAAAAAACAAACAAAACCCTCCTTGGTTCTACATCCCTCTACAGCTACCACACCTCTTCTCGGATTTCCTTTATAGGAATGCCTATCCTGACTGTCTCAGTTTCCTCAGCCCATATTCTCTCTCTCTTGATCTCTCTTTTCATACTATAAAATAAAACACAGAGACACAGAAAATTGCACAAATATTTGGCTCAAATGAATTATTATAGGATAAGTGTTTGTAATCACTAGCCTGGACATGAAAAATAGAATATTGCCAGGATTCCTGAAGTTCTTCAAATGCTCCCTCCCTGCCCCTAAAAGTAACAACTTCTTTGACATTTATAATAATCTATTTGTCTGTATTTCTTTATAGACTTATCACTCATATGTATACTTTCATAGTGTTTCATTTTGCCAATATTTAAATATTTGTTTTGTCATTTAAGTTCTTTCTAATCTAGAGCATCCATTTCTACCCCCATTTTTGTTTTTTTCAGACGGAGTCTTGCTTTGTCTCCCAGGCTAAAGTGCAGTGATCTCGGCTCACTGCAACCTCTGCCTCCCAAGTGCAAGAGATTCTCCTGCCTCAGCCTCCTGAATAGCGAGATTACAGGTGCCTGCCACCGCGCCTGGCTAATTTTTGTATTTTTAGTAGAGACGGGGTTTCACCATCTTGGCCAAGCTGGTGTTGAACTCCTGACCTCATGACCCACCCGCCTCGGCCTCCCTATTTTTCTTTATATGTAATTTATTTATTAAAGAACCTGAGCCTTTTGACCTATAAAATCTCCTACAGTTTAGATTTGCTAATGATACACTCGGATTTTGTCGAACATATTCTCTATTTTCTGTACTTCTTCCAAAATGGTAGCTGTATCCAAGGTTTGATGAGATTCAGCTTGATTTTCTTAGCAAGACATTAGTGGTGGTGTGTTCTTTCATCAGAAGGTGTACAATGTCTTCATGCCTGTCTTTTTGTGATACTAATGATCATTGAAATTCAACACCTGGATCTCTTAATTTATTGAGGGTTGCAAAATAAGGATATTTTACATCTATCAATTCTTATTTATGCATTAGCCAAAATTATTCTACAAAGAGAAATTTCTCCTACCATTTATTTACCACTGATAGAGTTGACATAAGCAAAGCACAGTATCATACCTTGAACACACCTTAATGGACTGTTTGTCTCCATCATTCATTTGAAAATCATTTTAGTCAGGGTTACCTTTAAAGTTCCTCTTGCCTAACCCATTTGTAAATTCTTAGACCTTATATAATTTAATGTCTTGATATTACAGCACTTGCCAAAGGTCCTTGCTCCCAATCTTTTTCACTTCGAGTCTCCATTTTACAACTGTTCTTCCTACTTCATTGAAGGCCCTTCCCAGTCTTTTTTGCAAACTTCTCTTTTTCATCCTCATCTTTTGATGTTAAAGAGTCCCAGCCTCCCTAATTTACATCTCCAGCCTTAGCATCCCACAGAGTCCCACAGCCATTTCCATCAGGATGTCTAATATTCTCAGGCTTAACATGGTCTCCTCTTCTCTTAACCTGCCCCTTATTCCTCCCCATCTGAGGAGTCATCCTTAATTCCTCTCTCTCCTGAATTCCCAGTTTCAAAAATTGTCCTTAATCTGATCACTTCTCACCTTCAGAGACGTGTGTGTTGTCTTTCTTTAGCCCAGTCCTGAATTTCTGCTTTAGCAACTATAAGGTAGAAAATTAGGCCAGTCACGTTAATGGCTGCCATCAGGATGAAGGTTTTAAACCAGGCGGATTCTGGATCCTAAGGAATTAAAATTCAAAGTAATTGTAAATTATTGCTCTTGTTTTTTTGTTTTGTAACATTTAAAATGTAATGTTAAAAATAACGTAGACTCAATCACTTAACAAATATGGAAAAACACACTTATACATAGCCAAAAAAGTAATCATTTTACTCTATAAAAATAATCACTTTTATCTTTCTACTGTATACATGTTGTTTAAAATTCTACTTTCATCAGATATTAAGTTACTAGTTTCTCATAGTTAAAAATTAACTGATTTTTTTCAATCTGATCTATTATTTCAAAATTTTCTGCATCTTTTCAAGGTATCTTATGTAACCGACATATTATTGTATCATATAAGCCTATATAGATAAAGAATGTCTTCGTATTTTAATTGGCAAATTTAATATACTTTCATCTATTGTCACTATTATTTTGTTAAGATTTATTGCTCCCATATTATTTCGTATTTTCTATTGCAATGCTTTATTTTTTTTAAGTTTTGGATTCATTTTGAAGAGAATGAGTTTTCTTCTACTGGTTTATAAAAGTTATCTGTATTACTCTTTAAACATTATTCTTCCGATGCATGCTCAAGTTGAAATAGCTATCTTGATAGGTAGATCAAAAGATATAGCTAGAGAGATTTAAGAATACATAGCTAAATGTATCTATTTATAGTAGATACATATTGATACATATTGAACTATATAAATTGAAAGAGATTTTATCAACATTTATCTTTTTCATAATAGGGCTAATATTTGGCAGGCTCTCATTTCCTTTTGGTCCTATCTTCCATCTCCATACCCATCCCTATGCAAACAAACAGTTTCTATTTTGGCATTTATTTTTTTCTTTTCTTTTCTTTCTTCTTCTTTTTTTTTTTTTTTTTTTTTTTTTCTGAAACAGGGTCTTACTCTGTATTGTAGCCTAGAGCTCAATGGCACAATCATGGTTCACTGCAGCCTCGAACTCCCAGACTCAGGTGATCTTCCCACCTCAGCCTCCTAGCTGGGACTACAGGCACATGCCACCATGTGCAGTTAAGGTTTTTTTTTTTTTTTTTGTAGAGATGAGGTTTTGCCATGTTGTCCAGGCTGGTCTTGAACTCCTGGGCTCAAGCAATCCGCCCAACCTTGGCCTCCCAAAGTGTTGGGATTACAGGCATGAGCCACTGCACCTGGCCGTGTTTTGGCATTTCTTAAAAACTTTTTATTTTTGATTATTATGGATAGTCTTTCTTTTTTTTCTTTTCTTTTATCCTTAATTTTAAGATAACGAAAATATAATCAAGATAATTGATACTATTTTTTTCCACTCTTTTTATTATTGCTTCTTCTGTTTTTTTTTTTTTTTTTTTTAATTCTCTAAATAGTTTATTTATTTCCCCTAAAGTGTGAGGCATTGTATGGTCTTGTATCCTTAAAAGTAGTTTTCTTATGCCATTGTCCTCTTGCATCCTGTGTTGCTGACAATTTTTGACTGTTGCCTCAGTGGGACTATTTTATTTATTTAAATTAAATTAAATTAAATTAAATTTAATTTAATTTATTTGAGACAGAGTCTCACTCTGTAGCCCAGGCTGGAGTGCAGTGGCTCAATCTCAGCTCACTGCAACCTCTGCCTCCCGGGTTCAAGCAATTCTCCTGCCTCAGCCTCCCAGGTAGCTGGGATTACAGGCATGTGCCACCAGGTCTGGCTAATTTTTTGTATTTTTAGTAGAGATGGGGTTTCACCATGTTGTCCAGGCTGGTCTCAAACTCCTGACCTTAGGTGATCCACCCGCCTCAGCCTCCCGAAGTGCTGGGATTACAGGTGTGAGCCACCGCACCTGGCTTGTTCTCATCATTTTTGAAGAACTTTGGGACTATTTTAAACAATGCTGCTATGAGAGGATTGTGAGAAAAATAGGATGTTTGATTAAATTTGAATTTCAGATAAACAATGAGTAACTTGGTAGTACAAGTATGTCCCATGCGTTTTGGTAATGAAGCAAAGTCCTGTATTATTTCTTGTTTATCTGAAAGTCAGATCTAACTGGGAAGTCTTCATCTTCTTGGGTTTTTTCTTTTTTTTCAAAATCTGGCAACCTCATAGTATAAACGTTTTTTTTTTTTTTTTTGTATATGTTCCTCAATGTGTATAGATTCATTTATCTTGGAGTGAAATTACTGAATCATAAAGATTGCATAACCTAAGCTTTACTAGGTAATATCTGTGCTCAGAAGTGTTGTACTAATTTACAATTCCAGCATTTGTTATTAATTTTGCTTTTCAGCACATCATTACTTACCCTTGGTATTATAGACCACCAATCTTGTGGGCGTGTAGTGTGAGCAAGTTGTGGTTTTTAATTTGTCTTTTACTATATTTATTAGCTATTTGGATTTCACCTTGTAAAGTGCCTACTTACATCTTTTTTTTTTCTCTTTTCTTATTGATTTGTAGTAACTATGTATTTTTATTAAAAGCCCTTGGTTAGTTGTATGTGTTGCAAATATCTTTTCAAACTTGATGGTTACTTATTCTATTGTTGGTATATTTTGAGGAACAGAAGTTCTTAATTTTAATACAGTCAAATTTGTTGTCTTGTTCTTTATGTTAGTACTTTTAGTGCCCTTTTTAAGAAATAATTCTGTCTATCAGATCATGAAAATATTCCTCTGAATTATATTCTAGAAACTTTATATTTTGCCTACAATTTTGAGATGTGCAATCCACCTCTACTTCATATTTTTGTATGTTGAGATAAGTTAAATTTTATTTTTCTTCATAATGATATTCTTTAAGCCCAGTACCATTTTATAAGTCCTTTCTTTATGACAAAGGTGGCACTGTTCTGTCATAAATTAAATGTCCATATATGTGGGATCTTTCTACACTCTTTCTTCAGTTCTATTGGTCTACTTGTGCCAATACCATAAGGTATTTATTTTCATAGCTTTGTAATGTATCTTAATATTAGGTAGAACAAATATTCCAGTTTGTCTTCTTCAAGATTCTCTTAGTTATTCTTGGCCCTTTGTGAACACATGTCAATTATCTAAAAGTCTTTTCAGTTTCCACAAAGTAACTTAGGATTTTGATTGGGATTTCATTGAATCTACAGCTCATTCAGGGGAATGAGAAGATATTTTATAATTTTGAGTCTTTTAGTATATAAAAATGGCATCTCCCTCCATTTGCTTAGTTTTTAAAAAATTTATTTCAAGTCTCTCTCTTATGGTTTTCTTTGTGGAGATCATATGAGTAATTCATTAAATTTATTCTTAGATATACGATTTTTATTATGGTGTTGAAAATAGTATTCTTTTTAAAATTTTTATTTTCACACTCTTTATTCAGGTATTTAGAAAACAATGTATATTTATAGATTTACTCTACAAATTCCAAAACCTACTTATTAATTCTAATAACTTATAAGTAGTGTTAGTCTTCTGATTTTTTTTTTAATGCTACCTATAAAAATGTTAATGATATTTCCTCTTTTTTTCATATTTCTGTGTCTTATTTCATTCATTAGGACATAGTAAAAAGTTTAGTATTAATAAATAGTGACAGCAGGCATTTTTTTCATACTCCAATCTGAGAGAGAAATGTTCCATGTTGTGTGTGTGTGTATGTGTATATATGTGTGTGTATATATATGTGTGTGTTTGTGTGTATACATATTTATACACATAAAATTCCCACAGCAAATATACATATATATGTATGTATATATACATACACATAGTAATAGGTGTATACATATTTCTCAGTGAATTGAATCATATATCTTTATGAAGTGATTGTCGTCATTTCTAGTAATACTTTTTGCCTTAAGGTGTCCTCTGAGATCAACATAGCCTCAGCAGCTTTTTAACTAAAAATTGCGTAGAATGTTTTCTCTGTTAATTTCAACTTTTCTGTTGCTTTTTATTTTATTATATATTTGTATGAAAGCAGCACAGAGTTAAGCTTCATTTCTTAATCCAATATGGCCGCCTTTTGCTTTTAGTTAGAGCTTTTAGCTTATTTAAAGTAGTTGCTGGCACGTCTAGTTTACCAAATTATTTCGATTGTTTTGTATTTGCACCTCTTGTTCTATGTTGCTTTTTCTCTCCTTTTTTTGCCTTCTTTTAGATAAGGTATTTTTATTATTTCATTTTTGTCTTTATTACTTTGAAATTGATGTACTTTTTCTGTTTTTTTAATTATTAGATTAGAAATTACAACATGTTTTCTTCATGTATCAAACTCTTAGTACTTTTATCCTCTGGCAAGGCAGCATGAAGTCTTTCAAATACTTTGCTCCATTTATCTTCTCTTGACTTATTTACTCTTATTATTGTTTATTTTATACTTTGTATATAGTGTTTTTTAAACTCCACAGGGCATTATTTTGTTTACCCAATAAAACAAATAGGTGAATAAGTGGATTTGTCCGCTTATTTACCACTTTTGCTGATCTTCGTTTTTTTCCTGCATCTCTAATTTTCTTTCTTTAAACCTAAAAACACTTTTAAACGTCCATTAGTGAATTGAATTCCCTGTTTTTGTTGGCTTGAAACATGTTGTCTTTCTTTTGGCAAATATTTTCACTGTTTACAAATTTAAGTTGGTAGTTATTTTCACTAAGCAGACTGAAGATGTAATTTTATTGTGTTCTGTCTTCCTTTCTTGAGTTTGAGAAGTCAGAGACCAGTCTATCTATTGCTCATTTGGAGGCAATCTTTCTGATTCCTCTGATTGCTTATATGACATTCTTTTTGTCTTTGCTTTTCTGCAATTTCTGGTTTCTTTTTCATCCTACTTGTGATTACTAGGCTTCTTAAAGGTATGAATTTCTGTATTTCTGGAAAACTAGAAAACAATCATTTTCTCTTCATACATAGCCTCTGCCCTATTTTCTCTCTTCATCTTCTGAGACTCCAGTTAGTCATATGTTGGGTTTTCTGAGTGGATTACCCCATCTCATGCCATATATTCTATATTTTTACCATTTTTTCTTCCTGGGATTCATTCTGGATAGATCCTGACAGGTCAAGAATAGAGTAGGTTATAGTATAGTAACCAATACCCTCAAGTCTTAGTGGCTTTCAATGACAGAAATTTGGCTTTTTGTTTACACAAAAGGTACATAATGGGTTGGCTAGGAGTTATGCTCCATATAACCTGGATTTCTGGATCCTGGTTAGTAGCCTTGCAGTCATCCTTCTGAATAATACTAGTTGTTGCATCAAAGGGAAAGAATGGCCTCTTGGTTTCTAATGCTTCTTCTCAGAATTCACATGTATCACTTCCTCTCATATTTAATTGGCCAAAATAACTTACAGGACTACATCTAACTTCAAAGAAGTGGGGAAATGCCCAAGAAGAGAACCAGAAAAGTTATTGCAGCTGCAATAATTGACTTCCCAGGCTTGCCTTCTGGTCACCAAATTTGATTCACTCAAATTTCAAATGCTTAGAAGAGTATTCAGTTTTTCTCTCCTTTTAAAGCTGAGGCAGGGGCAGATGAGAACTGTCTAAGTTAACTTACTAGGCAGAGACAACTTTGAACAGTTCTAGAGTCACATTTCCTTCCACATCTTGGATGTTTGCAGAGAAATTAGCTCCACTAACAACTTTTGGAAGTCAGCTCTGCACACCTGAGTGAACTCAATGGAAGAGTAAAGGCACTATGCTCAGAGGGAGGAAACAGACCATGGCCACCCGGTGCTCCCCATTTCTAATGAGGCCACTTCTCTGACCAGGGAGCTTCTATGGTTCTAGTGATGTTTTCTTCTTTTCTAATACCATAAATAGAGACATTATGGTGGTGGAAGATTCCTCTTTATGGGAAATGTGGCCATGGTGGATGCAGACCATCTCTCCCTGTCTCAACTTTGGGATAAGGAGCATTTGGAGGAATTATCTACACACTACTATTCCTTTTGTTGAAAGCGTTCCTCCAAATAAAGTTTATATGTGATCCACATGGTGCTAGTGGTAGGAAGGTGTAGTCCTTTGTGAGTACAGATTTATGCCAGCATTTCCATTCTGACTCTTCTTATTTGAGTGGCTTTAGGACATTATCTCTTATCTTCCGCTTGTTCATTATAACTGAAGACATAGATTACCCAGGATAGGCAAAGACCCAAGGCAGCCAGTGGCTTCAGTGGTCATTTACCTCTCTGGAATCAAACTATTCTTTCATTTTTAATCTCTGAAGTGTTCTTTTGCTTTACTTTTTTTGCAGATGAGGCATGCATTTAAAACAACTGTTACAATTTGATAGGGCATTTTAAGTGTCCTTAACAGGAAAATTTCAGCTAACTTTGTCCATGACACTTGCAAAAACAGAAGTCTGCCTTCATAGTCAAACTTTGGTCAATCTTTAACTGTATTTACTTGTGACTTTTCATTCTTTCTTTGAGAAAACTGTATCTTGTTACTTATATTACCACTCAGCCAGTCAAATACCTGTGCTGATCAATCCACACATTCATTATTAAAAATAACAGAAGTCCACTTCTGTACCAATGGCCAATTACTAAAGAGTTCTCTACGTATCTAATTGACAAATAATGAGGTAGAAATTGTATTATTTGTAGATTTGGAGAGATGCCTGATTTGACCAAGTTTATTTTCATATGATGCAAAAACTCATAAGTCATCTCCTTCTGGCATCTTCTCTGCAATCTCTCCTGTGCATAATCTTTCTCTATACAATTAATATTGGAAAAGTAACTACATGTCTGTATGTTTCTTACCTGCCTAAGGATCAATCCAGTTAAAGTGGAAGCAATTAGTCCTCCTAGCATTCCACTTAAAGTTGAACATGCTTTAATAAATCCAAAATATCTATACATAAAAGAATAATACATAAATGTAAAGTAGAACAAATACTGCAGGAAATGCCAACCTAATCAAATGAAATTTAAGAGAGATGACTGCTCATTTTGCAAATTCCTACTTCTCAAATTCCATTAAGTTGTTAGAAAAAGTATATGAATATAGGCAACTTTCCAGTGTCACCACAGAGTCAGAAAGGTTGGCATTAGCAGTAAAGGATATGATGATATTAATAAAATGGGATTATATTTAGAATGAAACCCAGTAGAATTAGAAAATATGTAAGTTCCATTGAGAAATTCAGAAGGCGATATATTTTGGTAATGGGAACTGGTTTGGGGTTAATAAAAAATTGAAGGGCTTTGTTCACCTGGTTTACTCTCATAAGCCCAGAGCTACTGACCTCCAAAATTGTTTCCAGTACTCAGGCAAGGAAACCAGAAGCCTAGTTTACAAGCAACTATGATTGGCCAATCCTGGAAGCTCAAACCAATTCCAGCATGAAATGAGCTATAAAAGCAGTGAAACTGCAGCAAATGAATCCAGGTTATTGTGAATGGCATTATTTTGTTTGTTTTTATGGCTGAGTAGTATTCCATAATATATATATAACCACATTTTCATTATCTACTTATTGTTTGATGGGGATTTAGGCTGGTTCCATATTTCTGCAGTTGCAAATTGTGCTGCTATAAACATGCATGTGCAAGTGTCTTTTTCATATAATGACTTATTTTCCTTTGGATAGATACCCAGTAGTGGGATTGCTGGATCAAATGGTATTTCTACTTCTAGTTTTTTAAGGAATCTCCACACTGTCTTCCATAGTGGTTGTACTAGTTTACTTTCCCACCAACAGTGTAAAGGTGTTCCCTTTTCACCACACCCACGCCAACATCTATTATTATTTTGTTTTTTAATTATGGCCATTCTTGCAGGAGTAAGGTGGTATCACATTGTGGTTATGATATGCATTTCCCTGATAATTAGTGATGTGGAGCATTTTTTCATATGTTTGCCACTAAATGCCGTATGTTTTCACTTATAAGTGAGAGCTAAGCTATGGGTATACAAAGGCATACAGAGTGGTATAATGAACTGTGGAGACTCAGAGTGGGGAAAATGGGAGGAGGGGCAAGGGATAAAAAACCACATATTGGGTACAATGTACACTATTCCTATGATGGATACACTAAAATCTTAGACATCACCACTGTCAATTCATCCATGTAACCAAAAACCACTTGTATCCCAAAAGCCATTGAAATAAAAAGAATATTTTTTAAAAAAATTCAGAATTAACAAGGAACTCCAACTTAACAACAACAAAATATAAATAACCACGTTAAAAAAGTGGAAAAAGGACATAAGTAGCCATATTCAAAAGAAGATATACAAATGGACAATAAGCATATAAAAAAACTAATCCTCAGAGTAGTGCAAACTAAAACCATGATGAGATAGCATCTTATGCCAGTCAGAATTATTATTATTCAAGCCAAAAAACAACAGATGTTGATGAGGATGCACAGAAAAAGCAATGCTTATACACTGTTAGTGGAAATGTAAATTAGTACAACCTCTATGGAAAACAGTGTGGAGATTTCTCAAGGAACTGCAAATAGAACTACCATTAGATCCTGCAATTCTGCTACTGGGTGTCTACTCAAAGGAAAAGATATTATTGTATCAAAAAGATATCTGCACTCATGTGTTTATTGCAATACTATTCACAATAGCAAAGATATCAACCTAAGTGTCCATCAACAGATGATTGGATGAGGAAAATGTGGCACATATGCACAATGGAATATTACTCTGCCATAAAAAAGAATGAAATAATGTCTTTTTCAGCAACATCGATGGAAATAGAGGCCCTTGTCTTAAGTAAACAACTCAGAAACAGAAAACCAAACACTGCAAGTTCTCAGTTATAAAGTAAGAACTAAATAACTTATACACATTGACAGAGTGTAGAATAACAGACATTAGAGACTTGGAAGAGTGGGAGGAGGGTGAGGGTTAAAAAATTACTTAATATGTACGATGTACATTATTCAGGTAATGGTTACCCTAAAAACACAGACTTCACCACTACATAATATACCCATTTAACAAAATTGTATTTGCACACCTTAAATTTATACAAAAGCTAGCAACTTTTAAAAATGCTTTTGAGAGCTTGGATTTAACAAAGAAAAAGATTTTTAAAAACTCTCCCTAGTTACAATGAACTATCCACACACACAGACACAAAATCAATGAAACAATCCCATATATAATAGTTACAAGAAAAAAATTCTTAAAATAAGTTTAACTGAATAGGTGAAAGACCACAATGAAAACTAAAACATTAGTGGAAGATATTGAAGAAGACACAAACAAATGTAAAGATATCCTGTGCTTATGGATAGGAAGAATTAATGTTGTTAAAATGTCTGTGCAATTCAAAGCAATCTAAAGATTCAATGCAATCCTTATCAAAATTCCAATGACATTTTTCGCAGAAATAGAAAAACAATCTTACAATTTCTATGGAAGTACAAAAGGTCCTAAATAACCAAAGTAATCTTAAGCCAAAATAACAAAACTGGAGGCATCACACTATCTGACTTGAAAATATACTTCAAAGTTTTAATAATCAAAATGACATGATACTAGAATGAAAATAGATACATAGACCAATGGAGCAGAATAGAGAGTCCAGAAATAAATCCAACATTGAGGATGAATTGAATTTTGACAGAGGTGCCAAGAACACACCATGGAAGAAGGATGATCTCTTCAATAAATACTGTTGGAACAACCGGGTATCCACATGCAGAAGAAAGGAATTAGACTCATCTCATACCATATATAAAAATCAACTCAAAATGGATTAAAGACTTAAACATGAGACCTGAAACTGTAAAACTATTAGAAGAAAACACAGGGGACAAGCTCTATGACTTTGACCTGGGCAATGATTTTTTGGTTAGGATCACAAAAGCACAAGCACTGAAAGCAAAGACAGACAAATGGGATTATATCAAACTAAACAGCTTCTACACAGGAAAAGAAACAATCAACAGAGTGAAGAGACAACCTGAAGAATAGGAGAAAATATTTGCAGACTATACGTATAATAAGTGGTTAATATCCAAAGAATACTAGGAACTCAAACTCTGTAACAAGAAAACAACCCAATTAAAAAATGGGCAAAGGACCTGAATAGTCATTTCTCAAAAAACAAAGGTATACTGTCAACAGGTGTATGAAAAAAATACCCAACACCATTAATCATCAGGGAAATTCAAATTAAAACCACAATGAGATATCCCTCTACACCCATTCGAGTGTCTGTTATCAAAAATACAAAAGATAAGTGTTGGTGGGGATGTGGAAAAAAGGGGAAATTTGCATACCATTGGTGGGTATATAAATTAGTACAGCAGTTACGGAAAACAGTATGGATGTTCCTCAAAAAATTAAAAGTAGAACCACTATATGATCCAGCAATTTCACTCCTGAATGTCTATCCAAAGGAAATGAAGTGAGAATGTCTAAAGAGATAACTGCACTACTATGTTCATTGCAGCATTATTCACAATAGCCAAGATATAGGATTAACCTAAGTGTCCACCAGCAGATGAACGGGATAACAAACGTGATAATATACACAATGGGATACTATTCAGCCTAAAAATGAAGGATATCAAGTCATTTGTGACATCTTGAATGAACTTGGAGGACATTAATTTAAGTGAAATAAGTCAGACACAGAAAGGCAAACACTGCATGATCTTAGTTACATGTGGAATCTTACAAAATTGGACTCAGAAGTAGAGTAGAATAGTGATTAGTAGGCACTGGGAGTGAGATGTTAGCCAAAAGATACCAAATTTTATTTATATATGAGGAATAAGCTTAAGAGATCTGTTGCATAACACAGTGACTATAGTATAAAACAACAGATTATATTCTTGAAAATTCCTAAGAGTAAATTTTGTGTTTCCACACACACAAAAAAATGCTAAGTGTGTGAGGTAATGCATATGTTACTTTGCTCGATTTTAGCCATTCCACAAAGTATCCATATTTTAAATCATCATGTTATACACAATAAATATATACAACATTTATTTGTTAAAGGTTTAAAAAAAGTGTATAAACAAATCCTACCTGGGAGCGATATCCAAGCCATTTATAAGTACTCCACCCAAGCAAAAGCTGCCTGTTGCACTAACAAGTATTAGGAAAATGACAATGCCGTAGAAGCTGGAACTCAGGTAAGGCAGGCATACGCCAAAGATTGCAGGAAGGAGAAATCCTGGGGAGTGATTCAGACAACATAGTTAGGTGCATCCTAAAGACAGGGGAGAAGTATCTCCCAAGTGCTTAAATGTTCTGGCTGTTGCTTACCTGCTGCTGTGAAGAGTTTCCGGACAGCAATTACGCTGAGAATATTCCTGGTCAGGAAGAAGTCTGATAACTGACCTACTAGGTTACCACAGATCCAAGCAAACAAATAAGGAAGGGAAGACAGAAACCCATTCTGAAGAGGAAACATTATTCTTGGAGTGAGTTTGATGGGTAAAGCAGTACTGACACACAGAGTAATCCCTATGCTAAAATTTATTATCTAAAATGAGTACTTTCATATAGGAAACCATCAATATCTAATACCAGAATTACTGCTGGGATCACATTACCCAAAAGAAAGAGAAAAATGGCTTTGAGGTCAGTAATATTTATCATAACCTGTCAAATCTTCCAATTTCAGTATCATGAAACATAAAAGCACTGGATAATGGAGAAGGAAGACTACATTGGGAATGGGAAATACTGGCCCTGGGGAAAATGATAAGAGAGGATAAAGATGACAATTACGGACATGCGTATGGTGCTTACACTGGACCAGCTGCTACTTATCCTCGCAACAACTTCAGGGTTTCATGAAGTATAAAATTGAGTCAGAGAGAGTTTATAAGACCTTACTGTTATGCTGGGCCCTAGGTTGGTTTACTGGAAGTTCATTACAGAACACGGCAAGTGGTAAGCCCAGACAGACTCCATTTCTAAAGGAGTCTTGTCTTGTCTGGTTATTATGGTTTCGAATAATAGGAGTTTGCCCGTATCAGTGATTCTCCAAGCCAGATGAGCAATGGGTATGCCAGTCCTTCCAAAGCAAGACTTGAGTCTTGGCTTCATAGCCCAGACTCATTGCTTTACCTTGGAGAGGATTGGTAAAAGCTTGGCAGAGTGACAGGGCCTGGCTAAGTGACTTTCATAGGAGGCCCCCAGTCTCTGTAGGGAATGGTGGTGTTGAGCCTTCAGTAATATACAAAGGGAGTCACACAGTAAATGGGAGATGGGAAATGTGTGGAAACACAGATGCATGTATGCTGCTGCTGGAGTGCCAGACACTTGTGCCTGCATCAGCGCCTTCTGTTTTGGGCAATGTTCATATAAAGAGCAGAAACAGTTAATTTCCAGGTGAGGAGCAGTAGCCAGACAGTGTGAGGAGTTGGCAAGAGCTGAGACTAGGGTCATTAGAGACAGAAAAATGTGCAGAGTCTTTCATGAAGTTAAAAACAGAACAAATAGTATACTTACCTCTTTTATACTAACATGAAGCGTGGAGTTGATAAACAGTGGCGTGTATAGTGTCATGATGATATGTGACCAGAAAAAAGTAAAACTACCAATGGAAATAGCCCAGACTGGAAGCGATTTAAGCATAGCCTTGATAGGCAGAGATTGTCTACTTGAACTGACCTGGAAAGAAATTCATTAATAATTAGCACATTAGAACAAACTGGAACATGTTTAGTTTGGAGTAGAATCTTAGAGATGCCAATATGGAGAACTGTGCTCTACCTGCTGGACCAGGGAGGATGTGATGTATTCCTTTTCACTGATGCTTATACATGGGTGGTCCTTGGGGTCATCATAAAACAGAATGAACCAGAGAAGACATAGAGCACAGCCACAAGCACCTATCAAAGCAGGATAAGTTAGAATTGGAAGTTTCTGTTTGTAGTGGATCTCTTTCCCAAATTCGCATTTTTCAATGTATTAGTCTGAGAATCTGGACCTCCTGTTTCTTTTTTGAAACTTTGCAACAAGTCTTACGTTTTTCATAGTCCTCCTTTTATCCACAGGGACCTCTCCCTGCTAGAAATAGGGTAAGGCCTATGCCCTTTCCTGATCTCCTATCCTCTGCTCCCTCCACTCATGACATCTGGGCCTGCCTGCCCTCAGGCCCTCATCTGTTCAAATTCCTCATGTGTTCCATCATAAGAATATGGCACAGCTGAGCCTGCTCAGGGCTTGACAATTGCCCAGTTGTTTTGTTTTTGTGTTTATAATGTTTAAGTTCAGGGACACATGTGCAGGTTAGTTATATAGGTAAACTTCTGTCATAGAGGTTTATTGTACAGATTATTTCATCATCCAGACATTAAGCCTAGTATCCATTAGTTATTTTTCCTGATCCTCTCCCTCTTCCCACCCTCTACCCAGTGGTAGAGGTTGCTCCCCTCAGTGTGTGTTGTTCCCCTCTATGTGTTCACATGTTCTCATCATTTAGCTCCCACTTATAAATGAGAACATGCAGTATTTAGTTTTCTATTACTGTGTTAGTTTGCTAAGGAGAATGGCCCCCCAGCTCCATCCATTTCCCTGCAAAGGACATGATCTCATTCTTTTTATGACTGCATAGTATTCAATGGTATATATGTACCACATTTTGTTTATCCAGTCTATCATTAATGGGCATTTAGGTTGACTCCATGTCTTTGCTATTATGACCCAGTTTTGACAGCTTAGCCTCAGCCATGTTCCTGAGATATAGCCCAGACTTCAGGGATTGTTGGAGTTCTATAAGAGTTTGACAAGTTATTTATATGAGTTTTTATATGAATAACTTGACTGTGAAGAATTCTCTGTTGGGACAGGAAGTATATAGTGCTCACCAGTCAGTCTTCCAGAAGACTTGCATTCATTTAACAAATATTAAGTGCCAATTATTTACCATGCACCTGTTTTAAGTACTGGGGATACAGCAATGAATAAAACAGACAAAAATCCCTGCCTTTATGGAGTCGACTTTGTAGTGGATAAAAAAGAAAAAAAATTATTTTATTCAATCAACTCCCTGAAAATTCATATAATACTGTTTATTATCTCTTTTTCAAAATGAGCAAACTGAGACTTGGAAAGATCAAATTATTTGTGGGACACAAATGTTAGTGAGTGGTAGTTTACCTGTAAGCATGAATTATATTGTTCAGGGAGAAACTACACCCCTAGATGGGGAGGCCGGGGTGCTGGAAATAAAAATACTATAATAGAAATAAAGAATGCCTTTGATGCATCAGTAGACTAGACATGACCAAGAAAAAGTCAGTGAGCTTGATAAAATGGCTACAGAAATTTCTAAAACTGAATTGCAAAGACAGAAAAAAGAACTAAAAAGACAGAATGGTCTGGGCGTGGTGGCTCATGCCTGAAATCCCAACACTTTGGAAGGCCTAGGCGGGCAGATCACTTGAGGTCAGGAGTTCATGACCAGCCTGGTCAACATGGTGAATCCCTGTTGCTTCTAAAAATACAAAAGAATTAGCTGGGCGTAGTGATGTGCCCCTGTAATCCCAGCTACTCAGGGGGTTGAGGCAGGAGAATCACTTAAATCCAGGAGGTTGAGGTTGCGCTGAGCTGAGATAGTGCCATTGCACTCCAGGCTGGGTGACAAAAGCAAGACTCCATCTCACCAAAAAAAAAAAGAGAATGGAATATCTAAGAATTGTAGGACAATTATAAAAGCTGTAATATATATGTAACAAAAAAATACCACAAGGTGTAATATACATGTAAAGAAACATACCGGAAGAAAGAAAGAAATAGAGAAAGAAAGGGAAAAAAAGGAAGGAAGAGAAAGAAAGGAAGAAAGAAAGAAAAAGCAAGAAAGAAAAAAAAAAAAAGAAAGGATGGGAGGGAGGGAGGGAGGAAGGAAGGAGGGGAAGGAGGGAGGGAGGGAAGAAGGAAGGGAGGGGAAAGAAAAAATTAGAAAAAATATTTAAAGCAATAATTACTGAGAATTTCTTAAAATTAATAATAAACTTCAAACCACAGATATAAGAAGCCCAGAGAACGCCAAGAAGAGAAGAATAAATAAATTTTTTAAAAAGTTACAACCTGACATGTTGTAACCAAAGGCCCCCAGTTTTTTAAGAAAAAGGGAATGAATTACTATTTTTAAAAAAATTTTCTCTTCTTTTCCCCTTTCCCCTTTTCCTCTTGCTTCTCATTTCCAACTTAGCCCTTCAGAAATGCAAATACAACGTTTCACCTCCTCCCCTCACCAGACATTCGCTATAGGAGAAATTCTTCTAACTACATGCTTCAAGACATAGCTCTCCTTCAGAGCTGACAGTCAATCTGTAGACCAAATTGCCAGGGAACTTTCATCTCTAGGGTGTGGCCTCAGAACTTCCACTCTCCAGGAGTGGCCTTGGAACTTTCTTCCACCAGGAGAGCATATGGAAAACATGCCCTTTGTGGCCACTTTTTCAACCTACTTCTGTCCATGAAAGTACCACCTCAACTGCGCAGTAGATAACTGCCTGGTAGCACGGGGACCCCTGCCCTTGCTCATTTCCTCTCCTACCTTATGAAAATGCTCACTTTTTTTTTTTTTTTTTTTTTTTTTTTTTTTTTTTTTTTGCCGCTTCAGATCCAAAGGTGAAACGGGACATTTAAAAGCAAGAAATTTTGTGTCCCTTCCCCAAGTTAGCTCTGGAATAAATCCACTTTTCTTGTACCAGACCCCACTCATGTTAATTGGACTGTACATGTGGTAAGCAACTAACTTGATTTTCAGTTACAATATAATATTCAACTTCAATAAATCAAAGACAATTTTGAAAGAAGCCAAAGGGGAAAAAAATGACCTGAAGAGTCATGTTTAAATTTAGAATTCTGAACACAAATCTCTGGCGACTAGTCTGAAGCTTGACCCATTCCTACCCAGATCCATTCCCACCTTACTAGGTACTTTGAATGGATATATGTGGAAACCCTTGCCTTCCCCAGTGGTGTACCATTCATATCTTGTGCAAATAGTGCCTCCTACCTCCCTTGGTCACTCCCCAATTCAATGGATATTGGGAAGAACCCTGCTGGTCTTTTCCAATATAACCAATAGCCTTAGTTCTATTTAAGAAACACATTCCAGGTATAATGATTAGAAGCAGAGTCATGAGCTCTACAGACCCTACTGTCTTGGCACCTGCCCTATGAAGAGAGCCTAGCTAGAGAGGGGCTAGAATGGGCTCTCCACAGTGTAGAATCCAGAGCAAGGGCCCTCTGGCCTGGCCTCAGGGCAGCTGTGACAGAAGCCATAAGTGATCCTGGCAACAGCTGTGTCTGATGGCACAGACACTAGTCAGATGTGAGTTAAGAAGAGTGTGAGGTGCTAGGAAATGTAGGCAATGGGTACAGACAGATTATGCAATGATTTCAATGTTCAAAAGGAGGTTATTTGAGATAGAAGACAGGGAAAGGGAATCATTTAAGAGATTTGAGAGGAGTTAAGAAGTTTGAAATAGTCTTTAGGAGACAAATATAGCAGGATAAACAAGCAATTTTTTTTTTTTTTTTTTGAAACAGTTTCACTCTTGTTGCCCAGGCTGGAGTGCAATGGCATGATCTCGGCTCACTGCAACCTCCGCCTCCTGGATTCAAGTGATTCTCCTGCCTCAGCATCGCGTGTAGATGAGATTACAGGCGGCCGCCACCACACCCAGCTAATTTTTTGTATTTTTAGTAGAGATGGGGTTTCACCATGTTGGCCAGACTGGTCTCAAACTCCTGACCGTAGGTGATCCACCCACCTCAGCATCCCAAAGTGCTGGGATTATAGGCATGATCCACTGCACCCAACTGGCCAGGCCATTTTAAGTGCAAATGTAAGTCTGTGACTCAATTTACTCCATTTGGTAATCTCCAGCAATTATCAGCTGCTTAAATACAGTTATTGTCTTATTCTTTAAAACAGTATCTATTCAGATTTGTTCAACTTTATTGGCAAGAATATTCAAATGGAATTTTAAAACAATCTTGGTTTTAGTTTTCCCTCTGCCACTAATGAACAGGTCGTTTGACATATGTGGACATCATGTAATTCCCAGTAAAAGGGTTGTGGGAGGCAGACACCTAAATTCCTAAACAGCTGTCATCTAATCTCTTTTCCTCAATTCTTAGTGATAAAGTAGAAACATGTGAGGGACTTCACAGTAAAGTTATTATCATAGTACAATGTGTAGTTGTGTAACAGCTTCGTTTGAGTTTCATGAAGCCACCCATGATAACTGTAAGTGGCATACATTGCTGTACAGGATCTTATCCCAGAAATACAACATAAATATTAGATGTCATTCAACCCTTGATCAGCAATGTTGGGCAGCATTAGTTATTCCAAAGTTTTCCTTATATGGAGCTGAAACCTCTCCCCTGCTCCCCTGCTTCCCCGTAATTTCTGCATATTTGGGTTAGTTTTGCAATTCAAAACAGATCTGCATTTTATTTATATGAAAGTCCTGCAAGGTATGTTTTCTCAAGTTTTCTCTTCCTCAGGCTAGACATTCTCAGTTTTTTCAGCCCCTTTCCTGATAAGGGGCTGATGTTCCATCACTATACTGACCATTGTCTACTACTGAAGACTAACACAGTCATTAACAGCAATGGAATTTTGAGGATGGAAGCTGTGTTTTCAGATTAGGCCTCTGCCATCTGCTTACTGTATGTATTGGATATCTTCTGTTTGTCTCCCTAGATGTACTCCTCATCCTTCTTCACCTTGCTTTGGCTACAGATGGCTGATTTGAATGAACATCAGTAGGCCCCCATGTCCTCTGCTTCTACCTGGATTCGGCCAACAGAAATTCCAGGCAGAGATGAGAGGGAGAGAATTGAGTGAGATCAAGGTGCTTTTTCAAACCCTGATTACCTCTGTCCTCTGATTGCCTCAATCTATGTGTCCTTTTATGAAAAATCAGGAGGCATCCTGCTCTATAGAGCTCTCCTATTGGATTCTGATAACTACTTCCTTGCTTGATGCCTTTGGACCTGGGGATGCTAGATGTTACGAGCTCCTGTATCACTAGCCCCAGGTAACTGGACTATTCCTGGGATTCCACCACATCTCATGCTTACCTTTTTAAGTGATCATTTTGTAAATAAATTCTTCTAATTTTGCCTTAATTATATGACTTTGATCAAGTTACCTAAGCCTTTTGAAATTTCCTCACATATCAAATGGGCATAATAGAACCTATCCACATTTTCTTATTCACAAACCTGAAATCAAGATCAGAGAGCCAAAAGTGATTTTATCACTTATTTGTAAACCTTATTTCTTTATAGTTTTTGTGTATATTCTAGTTTGCACAGATTTCATTTTTTACTGTAGAAATTAATGTGTTTGATTATGGGGTAGTGCTCCACATCATGCTTTGAATGTTAAGTATAAAAAGTAATATATTTCTGAAATCTGTAAACTTATTTATTCTGATCATCCTTTTCCTGGAGAGTTTCATATAAAAGCATATTGCATCTATAGCACCTACATTATAGAATTACAAAAGTTATGTATGAAAATACAAGTATAGTTTTAAGCATCATAATACCTTGCTTGTGGTAGGAACTTAATGAATATTGACTTCTCTCTTTCACTCAGTGGAGTTCATGATTTTTAATTTTAACTTTATATGAATTATTACATTATATTGGGTTTTAATGTTTAAATTTTTCTTAGATTCTGAATAATAACTAGGATTTTACAGAAGGAGACTCACCAAAAATATAGAAGACCATGGGCCAGCCCAGAGATTCACAGATAACTCCAGTCACAAGTAGGACAATAAAGGGTCCCAGCAAAAACCCTAATCAGTAGGTACAAAGAACATCCCTAATTAATGCAGGCATCTGAAAGTACAGATAATGTAGTCTCGCTGTAGCAATGAACAATTTCCTGTGAAACAAATTTGTGTATCATAACACAAATATCAGAAGAAAATAATAAAAATATTTTCTTTTCTCTCTTTTTCTCTGTTGAGATAAGGATGCCTCTTCTCCATTCTATACAATTCTCTCATCTTCACAGCAAGAATGCTGAAATAGATGATTTCCAAAGCCCTTGATGATTCAAAACACATGTTTCTTATGGCGCTAGGGAAGAACATAATACAATGAGATGAAAATAGGATTCAAACGTTCTAGTCTCTAACTCTTTACCTGATGTACTCATAGAAGTAAGTCGGCCTCGTTCCAGGGGAGGAGCCCATTTGACATATATTTCAAACTGGGCTGTTCCAACTATCCCCTGAAATGAGAAAGTTTTGACATTTAATCTCTAATACTTCCTGTGAATTAAAACTCTGTTTGGTTTTAGCATTATTTTAATACCTGGGCTGCTCCCTGAACTGCTCGACATACAATGACCCAAGCTACACCAATTCCAGCTGCTGGTGGGATGAGTAGGCTTAACACAGAGCTGAGGCATAATGCAAAGCCAATCATTTTCTTTGTAGAGTATATTCCAGAGAAGTATCCAACAGGAACTTGGATGATGACAAAACCATAGAAGGTGGAACTCAAGATGATTCCCTGGATATCTGGGCTCCAGTTATACACAGGGTTCTAAAAGACAAGGGGGGACACATCGAATCACTCTGCATATCAGAAATTTACTGTGACATTTAGGGATTCAGGGAAACTGTTCTTTTGGCTCACCTCATATAAAGTAGCTCCCTTCTTATTAGTATTCTTTATCACATGACCTTCTTTATTCTTTAATCACACCATTTTCTGTACATATTTACATTTTATCATTGGAGTAAAGCCCGCACAGCCAAGGACACCATCTGTACCTCCCTCCAGTACCTCTCACAGCATAGACATTTAATGCTTGTTTCTTGAATGTTGCTAAACTGCGTGTAAACTCTTCCTGCACAGCATACATATATTTAGATAGTTAATTTCCTGTACTTCATAGTATACTGCAGTTGTGAATTTCCTCTAGCCTGTTCACTTTCTCTAACTCCTCCATTAATTTAAGCTCATTCACAAAACCACTCTTCCCCACATACATATTGCTCCCAGAGAGAAAAGTCATGATAGAGAGAAGATAAAACCATGAAGAGTTCTGTCTGAGCTGTAAAAACAACTGCATGGAACAGTAAAAACAAAAAGGCCATTTCTCTTCTTTCACTTGGTTCTGATGTGGCATATTTTTTCCAGAATGCATTTGTTGGTCCATTCCTAGGTTAGAGGGCCTTCTATAGTTTCTTTTTACATTATTAAAGAATGCTAAAAGAAAATCTTAATATTCAATTTATTGTTGAGACTATGAAGAAGGAGGTTGCACATGTTTTTGGACCCACTGAACAGGAAGAAATCTTAATGGTAGTAGGGGAGGACAGGATAAAGTTTATTTGGAAGTGTCTAAGATAGTGGCATTTTCTAAACTTTCTCTGTTAGTTGCATAATTAAGAGGAACATATTAAGCAACAAAGAGTTTCCTGAATAAACGGTGAATGTGGTGGGTGTTATTTTTGGTTCAATATCAAATAAAATAGGTAGGAATCCATATGTTTGTTGTCATCACTATTATCTTATCCCTCCATTCCTCTTTTTTTCCTCTCCTTTTCAAGTCCCTGTCACCCTATAGCTGTGGCCTCTAGAGTGTATATTTCTCTTGGATGGAAAAGGACTTCCATGGAGAAATCTGGTAGGAGTGACTCTCTGAGAATACCAAATAATAACGAGTAAGACACATCTGTATAGTAGCCTGGGTGCCAGGGAAGTTCCAGATCTTTTCCACTGAGGGGAAGAAGGCTATACAGAAGATGAAGCAGAGTGCTCACTCAGGTTTTGTTTTGTTTTTCTTGTTTTTAATCACAGGAAGCACCAAGGAAGTCAATACTCACCCTTACCCCTATCAGGTGGGCCAGCAGGCATTTGTTCAACTCTCCCTGTGCATGTGAACAGATCACTTAAAATCTTGGATAGTTTTTCTTATGGCTTAAAGCCATCACTCTCCACAGCAGAATGTAGAAAATAAAAAAAGTTCACCAGAATTGGTTTAAATCCCTTGAGCTCAGACTGAAACTACTCACACCAGAAAGATAAATCCTCAGTTTATATTTTTCTATTCAATGCATTAACTAGTTGCCATTGAACAAAGTACTCCACATATAAACGTATAAATGACTCTATGTAAATCTTAGAAATAAATATATATACACATTTGTATGGGTCATATAAATGAGTAAGAGATGTATAATACCTAAGTAAGGAAAATGTATCAAGGGTATCACTAGATAATTTATAAGAGAACAAAATGGAAATGAACAATAACCATAGGTCACAGAAATATACAGATGTGTAATACCATTAGTAATAAAAGAAAATATACTTTAAAGTTATGGTAGAATTTCTGTCAGGTTGGTACACTTTAAAAAGAAAAATGACACAGTCTCCTTGACTTTGATGGAAGAGGGAAGACTGAACTACCGAATATTCCTCATCTACCTTCTTTTTCATCTTCTTTTCTATAATCAGTGTTTCTTACTGTGGTGAAATATCTGTGTGTGTCTGTTCTTCCTTGTTTTTCTTGTTATTTCATCTTTTTTTCTAAAACGTTCTTTCTGACTTTTTCATAATCCTTTCCTGTCAATTTCCTTTTTTCATTCATCTGCTCTTCAAGCATAGCCTCTTGTGGTCTGGCCATGTCTACTTTGAGTTCTTGTAGATACTGCACTATGGTACAGTATCTTCCATAGCTATAATTGTTTTACTAATTTTTAGGTTATTTTGTAATGTTAGACTACAATTTACATCTGCTTTGTGGAATAATTTTCTGGTGTGTTTTTCTATTTAGAATAATTATGTATTCTATTTCTTCATTTTTAAATGTAGTACCTTATGTAGCAGTAAACTGAATTGTGACAGGAGATTTCATGGGATGGCAAAAGGTTTCATGGGGTGGTAGGCTGATGCATGTGCTAGAGAAATCTTTCAAGCTCCATAGCTCAAGAGCTCCCTCCTCTTTTAAAGCCATAGTGAAGGCTCTAAAATACAACTCCCATGAGTAGCCATTTCTCTAGAATATGAGGTTCTCAGTATTTAAACCAAAGCACTGGAATACCATAAATATTTAAGAATACAACTCAAAACACTTTTATATAAAATAGACTTTACATAAAATAGATTTTATATAAAATAGATAATTGACATAATAAACTGTATCTATATATATACTTGTGAGGCTATCACCACCTAGAAGTTTTATATTAAGGGAGTCCTGTCGTATGTACTCTTTTTTATTGTCTAGCTAATTTCACTTGGCATAATTATCTTAAGTTTTATCTATGTTGTTCTTTGTGTCAGTAGTTCATTCTATTTATACTGCTAAGTAGTACTATATTTTATGGATGTGCCATAGTTTGTTCATTCATTCACCTACTAATGGACATTTAGGTTATTTCCAGTTTTTTGGCTATCGAAATAAAGCTAGACAAAAATGTTTATAGAACATTTATGTATAAGTCTCTGATTGGACATATGTTTTTATTTCTCTTCAGTAAATAACTAACAGTGGAATGGCTGTCTCATATGGTAGGTGTGTGCTTAATTTTTTTATGAAATGACAAAATGTATTCCAAAGTGGTTGCACCACATTTCATTCTCACCATGACTGTAGGAGAATTCTAGTTCCTCCACATTCCTGCACACATTTTGTATTTGCAATCATTACAATTTTAACCATTTGAATCAGTGTGTAGTAATTTATCTTTGTAGTTCATGTTTGTCTCCAATGTCAAATGATATAGAGCATCTTTTCATGTGAGTATTTTTCCTCTGTGTATCCCCATTGGTGAGATAGCTGTTCACATCTTTTTCCCATTTTTTGTATTGAGTTGTGTTTTTTAATTGGGTGTTGATAGAAGTTCTTTATAAGATATGATTTGCAAACATATGCCCCTGTCACTGGCTTGTTTTTTCATTATCTTAACAGTATTTTAAATTCTGATGAAGTCCAGTTTTATGTTTGTTCTTTTGCATATCTTAAAAAATCAGTTGTTCATATGTGTGTCAGTCTCTCTATTATATTTCATTGATTTTCTGTCTTTACACTAATTCTATGCTGTCTTTATTACTATAACTGTGTAAGTCTTAAAATTCCAGTAAGTAGTGTTACACCTCCAACTACTAATTTTCAATGAACATTCAGAGGTAATTCAATGGAGAAAGAAAAGATTTCTCAACAAATTGGGCTGGAAAAAAATTGTATATCCATATGTAAAAAAAAAAAATCTTTAATGCAACATATGCAAAAAGTAATTCAAAATAAATCACAGATTTAACTGTAAAATGAAAAATTATAAAACTTCTAAAACATAGAAAATTTTTTTGATCTTGAGTTATGTGAAGATTTCTTATATGCAACAACAAAAGCACAACACACAAAAATGTTAAAAGAAATTCTTCAGGCAGAAGAAAAGTGACACAGCTAAAAAATGTGGATTTACATTTAAGAAGTAAGACCATTAGAAAAGAATAAATGAAAGTGGAAAATATTTTATTTTGAATTGATCTAAAAGATAACTTTTTGTTGAAGGAATGTTTTGAGTGTTTATAACATATAGATACATAAAATGAATAACAGTAGTCATGGAGATGGGAGAGAGGAATTGGAAACATTCTGTTACAAGATGCCTTCATGATACATGAAATAGTCTAGTGTTATTTAGGGGTAGATTTATATTATTACAAATGTATATTATAAAACCTATGGAAGTTATTAAAACAGTTTTTTTCAAGTATAAATGATATATCAAGAGGGAAGATAAAATTCAATCATATAAAATGCTCAGTTAAACCCAGAGAAGGCAAAATGTGAACAAAAAAAAAATTAGCAAAGAACAGATTTAACAAATAGAAAACAGTTACCAAGTGTGTATTTTTCTATTCTTCCTTTCAGTTCTCAGTTTTTGCCTCCTATATTTTGCTGCTCTGTTGTTAGGGATCATTTGTTGTTAGGGATCATGTTTAGAATCATTTGTTTTTGGAGAATTCACTCTTTTTTTCATTGGGTAATGCCCTCTTTATCTCTGGTTATCTTCATTGCTATAAACTCTGCTTTGTCTAAAATTAATATAGCTACTTCAGTTTTCTTTTTATTTGTGTTCTCATGGTTGCATAGTTTACATCTTTCTTCATCCCTTTACTTCTAACCTATCTGAGTCTTTATATTTTAACAGGATTTCTTGTAGATAGAATATTTGAGGATCTTTATTTGTTATCAATTCTAACAATTTCTGTCTTTTAACTGGTGTGTTTAGAACATTCAAATTTAAAGTGATTATCAATATAGTTGGATTAAAATCTACCATCTTTTAACATTTCTTTTGTGATAAGCCTGCTGGCAGTAAATTCATATATTTGGAGGGAAAATTGAAGGACAAAAGTTGAAAGACAATAAAGGCTTTTTCAATTACAGCTACAGCTTGAAATTTTGTAGTCTTTCAATTTTGTCAATAATTTTATTGAATACAGAATTCTAGGTTGGCAGGGGTTTTCTTTCTTTCAACACATTAAAAAGTTCACTTTTCTCTCCTTGTTTGCATAGTTTCTGATGAGAAGTCTGCTATAATTCTTATACTTGTTCCTTTGTAGGTATTTTCTTCCTCTGGTTTTATTGAAATGTTCTTTTTGTCTTGGTCTTCTGAAATTTAAATATGGTATGCCTAGGTGGCTTTTCTTTGTTTTCCTTTTTGCTATTTATCTTGTTTGGTGTTCTCTGAGCTTCTTGGATCTGTGGTTTGATGTCTGTCATTAATTATGGAAATTTCTCAGCCATTTTTTTTAAAAAGTATTTCTTGTTTCCTATTCTCTCTAGCATTCTGGTCATGTATATGTTACACCATTTGATACTGTCTACAATTTGGGAATGACCTGCTAATTTTTTTTTCATTCTCTTTCTCTTTGCATTTCAACTTTGGAAGTTTCTATTGATCTATGTTCATGTTCACTAATTCTGTCCTCAGTGGTGTGGAGTCTACTGATAAGCCCCTCAAAAGCATTCTTTGATATAGTTTCCTTGATTTCTAGTTTTTCTTTCTTAACTCTTTTTATAGTTTCCATCTTTTTACTGACATTACCTATCTTGTTTTTATTTTTTACTGCATCTACATCTTCTGGCAGATAACAACTGATTATCTTCCAGAAATAAAATTAATGAAACATTTAAATATCCTGCATGTCAAAAACTTAAAAAATGTAATGTGTCTTCACCTTCCACTTCTGGTTTAAAATGCTTTCCTTTTTTTTTCTCTTGTCCAAATTTCTAGATTGTAAAGAAACCCTAACTCTAGGGTTTTATTCTCCCTCACATAGAAGGATTTACACAACGAGCCCTTCAGAAGTATTGAGGCATACTTTAATCATGGAGCATTTTATGTAGGTCACTGCTGGCAAAGTAGATGAAGACTTGAGCTTCTTTTTCAATTATATTATCATATCAATACAATTCCATCTCTACACAAATTAGTTAGCAAGACAGGCTTTTAAACATTTGACTGTGGAGAAAATTATTGATATACCTTTATATTATCCAGGAGCTTCTTTGTGGAGGTGTTGGGCAAACCATGTGGATCTGTGCTATTCACCATGACTACCATTGTGAGGTTCAGGCATGCGCGCTGTGCTGTTGTTATAACATTACAACAGTGCACAAGGAAAGACAATCCATAGCGAAAGGAACAGAAACCTGGAACTACAAAGTAAAACAGAAAGTCTCAATTGTTGACACAACTGAGATAAAAGCATACTTTAAGTATAGGAGGGACATTCAGAAATTTGGACCCCTAGATATTAATTTAAAATTTTATTGTACTTAATGACCTTTGATAATTATTATATAATAGGAAGATGTGAGACTGATATAATAGTACCGTATTCTCCTTAAAATTATAACGCCAACTAGAAATTCCAAGAAAATTAAGCCAATCTTTAAAGTTCTTTGGCTCATGTCTATTTTTTAAGACTCCCTTTATAAACACCCTGTGTTACTCTTGGATGTAAGTCCCCTTCATAACAACAAAGACATTTTCTGTCAAGAAAACTATGCCTTTTTCAACATTTTAAAAATACACTGGTTGAAAGACTCATATATGCCCAATGTGGAGAAAAATGGCATTTAAAAAAATGTAATTACTTATTGATATAAGCTAGATTAATCAGTTGGTGTACAGCCAAACAAGTTCATTGATGGAAGAAAGCAGGGAGTCTGGAAACAGATACGCATATATGGTTAACTTTTAAAAAATAAATGTACTAATGCAATTCATTGGAGGAAAGTAAAGTCTTTTTCAACAAATGGCATTTTTTTTCAAGAGAAATATAGGTTTATGTCTACAAAACAACATGTACAGAAATGTTTATAGCAGCTTTATTCAAAATAGCAGAATGTTTGGAAAGAATGGACATATCATGGTATTTTAATACAATGCATATTACTCAGAAATAAAAGGAAGGAACTACTTATACACAACAATTTGGATAAATCTGGATGAATTTCAACAAAAACACGTTCAGTTAAAGAAGCTAGACACCAGACAGTATATACTATAGGAATCTAGTTTTACGAAGTTCAAAAACGGCAAAATTAATCAGTACGGCCCCCTCCATCTCCAAAATTAGCAATGGGAATCTACTTTATGTTGAATCCCTCTCGCTCTTTGAATCTAACTACTCTGCTTTGACCTGTACAACCAGATTTAAAGGGCTCATGTGATTAGATCTCTCCTAACTGCATAATTTCCCTATTTAAGATTAACTGATTTGGGACCATAATGACATCTGCAAAACCCCTTGAAGCAGCACCTAGCTTAATGTTTGCTTAAATAACTGGGAGAAAGTGTGTATACACCAGGGGCTGGGAATCTTGAAAGTAAACGTAGAATTCTGCCTACTGCAGTCCACCATCTGGCTCTTAAAGACTCATGTTCATTTCACATGCAAAACATATTCACCCATTTCAAGCTTCCCAAAGTCTTCGTTTTATTACATTATCAACTCAAGTTCAAAACCTCATCAAAATCTCATAGCACAGTCCAAATTCTCATCATGTAAATCGGGTGTGGAAGAGGCGCCTATGATTAATCCATCCTTGGGCACAATTTCTCTCTGTGGGCTTGTGAAACTAAAGAGACAAGTTATATGCCCCTAACACTTTTACCACGTAATGGTGGAACAGGCGTGGGATAAAGCTATAGACATTCCAGTTCCAAGGTGGGAAAATAGAAGCGAAAAGGAGTCATCGATCCATAAAGGTTCTGAAGTTCAGCCAGGCCAATGTTGGATTTTTTATGAGGCCTGGAGATAATTCTTGTGGCTCTTGGCTGGGCTCTGGGCTCTGGGCTGTATCCTCTGTGATCATTGTTCCATCCAAGAATAAAACAGGGGCCAGGGAGCTTGGGGACCATCTTGGAATTCTATCTACTGCACATTCATATTTAACTAAGAATTTTTTATTGCAAATAAATATTAACATCATAAATAAATAGATTTTTTATATCTATTGAGATAATCATACAATTTTCCTCTTTCAATTAATTTGTGTGGAGTGATATGTATACATTTTCTAACATTAAATTACTCTTTCATTTTGAGGATAAACCTGACTTAGTGGGGTGGTTGCTTTTTTAATGGTTTTATAAATTCTTAGACTTGTTTTGTTCTGTTAATATTTTATGTAGGATTTGATATCTTTATAATTTTCATAGGACTATTTTGCTTTATATGTTGGAAGCTATTTTATTAGATGTATTAATATTTTATATCATCCTATTGAATTTTATATCATTTTGCAACATTCTTATAGAATCATTTGAACTAGTAAAAGACTGTAAACAAATTAGATGTTTATAAATCAGTGACCATTTAAATAAATTATAATATATCCATCCGTACCAAAGTCATTTGCAGCTATAAAAATGCTGAGGAAAAATCTCTGCCGAAAATTGTGGAATACTCTTTAGGTAAACTGTTAAATGAAAAACAGCATTAGTACCTAACAAATAGTTGGCTAGTTTTCTGGACTAGCCTGAGCTTCCATTGTTAAAAGATAAGAATATTAGATAAAAATATGCTTAAAATAAAACATTTTATTAAAAGCATGGGTGATCTAAGAGGAAAGATGAAATATTCAGGCCAAGGGCTTAGTGAAGATGGGAGCCTCAAAACACAAGTTGAGCATTGAAGTCAGATGTTTCACTGTGGACTTTTGATCTTGGAATTTTGGGCCTTCCATGATATGGGGACAACAGGAATCAAATACCAAGGTCCTAGCAATGCGATAGTATATACTAGGAGACCCTCTCCTAAAATACTTAGATCCACAGACTTACATGGTCAATGGAGGATGAACACATTGTCCCTTTACCTTGTCAGTGGACTGCCAAAAAATTTTGTGCCATATGAACTTAAGAGCTGAATAGAAGGGGGTAAAAGAATACTCCTGAGAAATTTAATAATCAGTCAACCCTTCCTTTGATTTGCAGCCTAAACTCATTATCTTAGGGAAGTGAATGGATCTAGAAAGCCATCAGAAACTTTGTAAACACCCCTGCAGGAGAGAAAAAAGTCTCAACATGGTAAAGGGGAAGTCACTGTCACCATGTCAGAGAAGGGCTCATTGTCTTGGTCATTTAGGGGTACCCTTTTGAGTTTTACTCATTTCTCTCCTCCACATTGCTCCAGAAAGTCCATGAATTATGTCTAAACAAGTTTTAAGTTAAAAAGAAGACCACAGGGGGATTTCTAAAGTGTTTGGGATTGAGTAATAGTAAGAATACTGCATATCAAACTCATGGAGAGAGCAAAATGTGAATCTGTTAATATATTTATCAAAAAAGAAACAACTTAAAAAATTGGAAACTGAACAAAGGAACAAACCCAAAGAGTGTAAAAGGAATTAAATGCATAAGGGCAGAAATGAATGATATTAGAAAAAAAAAGTATATACATATATATATATAAACTTTGAATGCAAATTAAATGGACAACTTAAACAATCAAAATAATTACGTATCAAAGTTGATACAAGAAGAAATATAAAATTTAATATACAGTAACTTTTACATAAGTTGAAAAAGTATACAATCTATTGTTCATCTCCTTTTCTGAGATTTTGTCCCCTATGACATTGACACAACACTAAGCCAATAGCAACAATCCTTTATTGTTGTCATTCAGCTGTTGATGTACAAGAATGCAGGGGCTCAAGAACATTCATCCTGCCTTACTTCCTCTTACAGATGTATCTCTCCTTCTCTTGGAGATGGAACCAAAATAGCCCAGATTTTTCTGATATTTTCCACTAAATGATAAACTGACAAGTGTACAAAAATGAAAATAAAGTGTGAGCCACCAGAGTATATAGAATCTTTTTATTTAGGGCTTTTCTGGTGGGAAACCATAGTAGGACTGGTTTCTTCTACCTTCTTTCCTGAACATTTTTAAGACCCCATATGTATTTCACAAAATATTTCACAAAAATATTCCTCCACATGGAATCTGTGATGTAATATTTAAGAAGCAGAAAGCCTATTTAATGGAACAGAATAAAGTGCTACCTTTTTTGCGAGGCAACTGGTTATCCATTTGCATACACGATTGAAGTTGCTTCTCTTCTTGCTAAAGGGTTTGGCCTCCACCCACTGTGAGCGCAAAACACGTTGATGTCAGCATAATGTAGAGAGGCAACTGACCAAACACTACCCAGTTCTCCTCTCTGATTTAAAACTGCTTCCAAGGATAACTTGCTCCATCACAGCAGTGCCCATCCACCTCCATTATGTGCTTCCCTTGATATTTATTTTACTTTTGTGATTGCTTTGGTTGATTAAAAATATATGGAAGACCTGAAAACTGCAGAGAACAAACAAATAACCCTGCCAATCCAGAATTCTAAATCCATGATAATATTCCTCCAAAGTGAGAAATGGAAAGAATTCATTGCCAGTAGACCTGCTCTACAAGGAACATTAAAAGAAGCCTTTCAGGCAGAAGGAGATTGCTATAGGTCAGAAACTTGGCAGTACAAAAAGAAAGGAAGAATGTCAGAAAAGGAGTAAGCAAAGGTAAAACAAATTCCTTTTTTCCCCTTGTATCTTAATAGAGCTGAAAGATACTATCTGCTTACTGATACCACCAACTCAAGCAGAGGCTAATCATTCGTAATACTTTCACTGTCCATATCTTCAATTTCCGTGGATAGAGCAGCCACTGCTGCAAAGTTTTATGGCAGGAAGTACTGTGGATGAATCAGAGTGGAGCGGCCTCCTATCAGGCAACCCCTTACCATCAGAATTAAGCACCAATACGTGCTGGGTAGCTTAGACCTCAGGATTTTACCATATCAGATTATATGATACCTAGTGCCCCAAAGATACCTAAGTCCTGAGATTGGATTTGCAAAGTATTTTTGAATAAGCAATTTGCCAGCCATCATTATCACACACTGGAATCTCTTCTGGGCCTGCTGTTTATTTCAATACATATATACATACACACCAAGCGCACACACAAACCACCCATACGTATGCATCACATACATACATACAACATAAACACATGGTACAAACTCCCCTTATATTCTGCACACATACACTCCAGACACATAGCAAACCAAACTTATAAACATGTTACAATACTGCATCCGCAAAATGGAAGTACAAACTAAAAACACCACACACATAACCACATGCACACACAAACCATAGGCACACAGGCACCAGGCACACACAGTGTGCCACACACATTACAGACACAGCACACCACAGCTATACAAGCATCATACACTGTACAACACACACTTCTGTTTTCTTGTGTCCCTGTGAACCTCACACTGATTGCTAGAAATATGTTCTTTTTTCTCTTGTGAAAAGCCTCAGAAGATAGGGCATATTCCACCCCTCCCCAAATTTTCCACTATTGCTAAGTACTTTCAATAATATCTTTGCCAGGGAATGCCCCCTTATGGCCCTCTGGGGCATCAACTGATTGTTCATTTCATTTAATGAGCCCCTTATAAGAGTGAGACTAACCTGGTTCGGAACAAAAAGTGATTTCTTCTTCCTCTGTGAAGACTTTTCTCTCAACTTTACACAATATTGACTTTCTGGGATTACCAAGTTTAGCCCCATAAATCATTCACCAAATCTTTTGACATCGCTGTGTCAGAGTTAAAAGCTTAATTTTTAACTTTACTTTTACCTTTTCCTTAAAGCTTCATGGAAGGTTGGAAGGTGTGTGGGTCAAAATCATCCAGTGGACCAGAAATCTGGGAATCTGCCAGTAATTTCATGGCATAATAAGCAGACACCCTTAGTCTCTCTCCCTGCCCAGGAGATAAAGCTTGGCTGCCATAAGTTCTCTCAAGATTTCTCTATTAAAGATGGCTCTGGGTATTCAATGCTGTTCTCACAGGAATGTTGTGGCTTTCTAAATGCCCCGTAAATGCCCTATTAAATTTTTACTCTTAATTCCCTTCCTTTCTTCTTCCTTTTCTCCCTTTTTTCTTTCTTCTTTCTCTTTCCCTTCTTCCTTCTCCCTCCTTCCTTCCTTCCTTCCCCTCCTTCCCTCACCCTGTCTCCTCCACACTCTTCTCTAAACGGTCCATCTGTCTGACATTCGGCATACTCAGAAAGAGGTACATTTTATTGAGGCATGTCCTCTGGAAGGTGTGGCTTCTCTCATGGCTCTTCCTGCAATTACTGTAGGTTCTGGTTCAGTCACTTGGTTATAGTAATATCCAGAAACATTAAAAAAAAATAGAGAGACAGGATCTCACTCTGTCACCCAGGCTGGAGTGCTATGGTGCAATTATAGCTCAGTGCAGACTTGAACTCCTGAGCTCAAGGGATCCTTCCACTTCAGCCCCTAGTAGCTGGGATTACAGGTATGCAACACTGTACCCAGCTAATTGGTAGAGACAAGGTCTTGCTGTGTTGCCCAGACTGATTTCAAACTTCTTGCCTCAAGCAATCCTCGTGCCTTGGCCTCCCGAGTGTTGGAATGACAGGTGTGAGCCACCATGCCTGTCCCCTAATACTTTTAATGTAGAACTCTTCGAAGGTAATCTGCTAATGACGTAAACATATCCAAGCACTAAAATCAGGGATTTTGCATTATAGATAATTTATTTCATGCTTAACAAATATTTTTAAATTTTTTTATCATGTTTTTAAAGTGCTCATTAAATGTTTGGCACATAGCGGATGCTCTGTAAATTGAACCAGTTATTTTTTTCCTCTAAAGAAATGTTGTAAATCTTTAACCCCTTTGCCCAGGAGACTTTGATGTTGTTATTGAGTTGGATTTTTTTTCTTTTTCAGAAGTCCAGATTCTGCTGGTCCTCTTCTGTATGTTGCAGAATTTTTGTACTGTCTGTTCTGTTTCATGCTTGGCAATTTCTGGCATTTTCTGAAAGAGGAGCCCTTTTAGTGATTGAAACCCCTAGGTCAGCAGTTGTTCAATGTCCATGTGTTAAATAATAACACTCCCATTTGCCATCAATATGGCAGTTCTGGTACTGATTACCTGAAGGAGAACCATCTTTTCTGTTTGCTAGCCCCAAAGCTTTCTGCTGATCTGTGAGATTCTTTGAAATTGTTTCTTTTGGATTCTGTGTTTTATGTATTAAGTTTTAAAATTTATCATCTTATTATGGAAATGTTTAAGCATACAAAAAAGTAGATCAGTTTAAGATAACTGTGTACATATTCACCCACTTCAATAATTATCAATATTTGGCCATTTGAGTTTTCATTTGGTCATTTGAATGTCATCAACAACATTCAATGGTTGTTTTTTTGTAGCATTTTAAAGAAAATCTCAGGCATTATGTCATTTCTTCTGTAAAACATTCAGCATGGCTATCTAATTCATTAGAACTTTAAAAAATATAACTAACATGCTATCAGCATATCTAGTAAATAAACAATAATCCCTTAACATCACCTAATATCCAACCATTATGACAATGTTCCCAATTACTTCAATGTTGTGTCCTTTATATTTGCTTGATTTAAGAAAGGATTTGAATAGGATCCACATAATGGTGCTTAATTGTTAAGGCTCTTATGTCTCTTATTTTATAATAATCCCCTCTCCCAGTTTACATTTGCCATTACTTAAAAACAACAACAATAAAACAGGATCCCTTGCAGAATGTCTCTCATAATTGGTTTGGCTAATAGTTCCCTTTTAGGATCATTTGATGTATTTTTGTATTTCCTTACATTCCGCAAACTGTGAGGTATATACAGAGACTTGGTTAGATTCAGCACAAAAACACTTCACTGGGATATGGGATGATACAGGGTACTATCGCACCCTGTTGGGAGGCACATAATAGCAGGTTGTCTCACTTTTAGGGGTGGTAAGATTAATCAGTAGTTTCAGATATTCTTAGCCTGACTTACTCATTAATAAAGTTTTCATCAACCTTTCACCTATGGCTTTTAACTACAGTTAGTAAATGTTGCCTAGCTCCATCATTTGCTTAGAAGTTATAAAATGGTGATTTTCTAATTCTATCATGTCTCCTTCATTTACGAGCTAGAATATTTTTATTAAAAAGGAAATTTACTTTATCAAACATTTGGTAAGCTGGGAATACAGATTTAATAGGAAAGTTACCATAGTCACTTGATAAAGTTCTAGAATAACTTAGTGTCTTAGCAAAAATGACCAAGTACTATTATGACCTAATGGATTTTATTTGATGTTTTGCAATCTATTGCAGTTCTTATTCCTTTTTGATGCTACAGTTCTTCCTTCTTTGGCCAGTGGGAGTCCCTTCAAGCTGGTTTCCATGTCATTATGATATGACTCTTGTGGTCTTGAATAGCTTCCTTGTCTTCCAACACACAAAAAACTTTCCAGCTTCCTCTTATATATTTTCTATTCTCAGATCTGGGCTTTCTCAGGAAGTGTGGGCTCCTTTCAGCAGGAAGTAACGTTTAGAGACCACACTCTGAACACTAAGTGCTCATTGTTCCTGGGTTTCGCTGCTTTTCGAAGTTTTCAGTGGAAGAACTTGAAAAGGGTATTTTTTAAAAGAAATTATAATGTTTTCCTCATATTTCTAATTCAAATTTAGGATTAGGGTTATTCTCAAAATTCCTTTGATTTTATAGTCTCACATATTTCTCTTTTGTTGGCTATCTTTGTTCCCAATGAATACACTTTTTTGCTTTATTGTAGCATGCCTACATTAACATGAAAATAATACTAACAATATTGCCAAAATAAACTGCTGCCTTCCCCAGAAACAGATCCTGAGATGAAGATTAATGTTAAAGTGATATAATCATATTTTCAGGGGAAAAAACCAACAACAAAAATAGTAAGGAGGTTGGGAAGTGGGCAGGGAAAGAAAGGAGACCAAACAAGGGTATGAAAACAAGCCAAGTCTGGAGGAAGGTAATTTTGGACTAATGCTACAAGAGAGCAGTGGGAACAGTGTTTTCTGCACCTCAGATTTGTCCTAACCAGAGGTACAGAAGTTAGAGTATTTATATGCCAGTACCCATCAGTGGTTGGCTCCAGGGTGTCAGGTTTTGAAGGGAAGGCAAGGGTTAAAGAAAGACACACACACAGAGAGAGAGAGAGAGAGAGAGAGAGAGAGAGAGAGAGAGAGAGAG